TATTGGGCCATAAAGGCCCAATAGCACGAATAAAAGATATTTGAGCCCATCCATTGAATCATTTATAATTTATTGATCTTAAGTTCGTAATGTAGCTGTTTGTTGTAAGTGAGATGTTTATTCGAAGTATTAAAATGTTTTGACGTTTGTTTTATAACGAAGCTTGGTTATACGTGTGTGTATATATATATATATATATATATATATATATATATATATATATATATATATTTCTAAAACCATGCGTTATAAACTTAATATTTTTAGCCCAATAATTTAATATTTGTCTACTTGGCCCAAAAATATTTAGTTTGACCATTTCAGCCCCTTAATCTATAAAAATGGCACTTTTAGCCCCCTTTTATGAAAATTGACATTTTTGGTCCTTAAACCGTTTTTCTTGACATTTTAGACCCAAACTTTATTTAAATAATAATTTCAGCCCAAAAATATTGTATTTGTCATTTCCAGCCCTTAATTGTAAAAAGTTTACACTTTTGGCTCAAATTCCGTAAGTTTTACAAATTTGACCCCAAAATAAAAACCTTTGCATTTTTAGTCCAATTTTTGCATCAAAGTCATTTTCAGCCCTTAAAAATAGTTTATTCATGTTTTAGACTCATAGTTTGTTAAGTTTTCCAATTCAGGCCCTTAACATTTCATTTTTTTGCAACTTTGGGCCCAAAAACTCGTGAGGCCCAAATTAAAGCCCAATAAGCTAAAATCTATGTTTTTGACCCCTAGAAAAGTGTTATTTTCATAAAAGTTAGATTTCTATGTAAATAATACCATTTTGTCTTTATAAAACCGAAAATTACATATTTTACCCAAACTTTGATTATTTTTGCAAAAATGACACTTAAAAGGACTTTGACTTTGTTTTCACTTCTTAAGCCTAAAGATCCTTAGATCTTTGAAGTAAATTGTTTATTATGTACTTTGTTTATGTATTCTTCACACTTTAGCCATATATTTCAAGATTTAGCAAGTAACATCATATTTTCACAACATAAACCAAAGAAATCACATATAACAAGCATATACACATAGATCAACACATAGTACTTGTATTCTCCCCCAAAAACAAGTAAAAACCAAAAACAAGGGGGTATGAACTCACTTTGCTTTGTTGCTCATGATTTTGAAGAAGAAATGGAAAAGATTGATGAGATTCTCGACCCTAACAATCTTCTTGAAGAGGCCTTTGAATTTGAAGAGTTCTAGGGAGTATGATCAAGAATTTAAGGTGGTAAGAAGAGTGATTAAGTTGTAGAAAGAAAGTATGTTGACAAGATCTTACCACAAGTATGTATCTTGGAGTGATTTTTGGATGAAAACCTTCTTGAAATGCCCTAGATCTCGAAAATTTGGAAGGAGGAATGAAGGTGTTCTTGAGAGGATTTGGAAATGAATTAAGTGTGTGTGTGTTGATGCTCTCGGCCGACAGTAGAAAAAATAGAAAAGAGAGAGGATGAGGTGACCATTATGGATGCATGTTGGTCCATGCATGGATACATGGTGTGCAATAAGGAGGTGGCAACTCCCAAAGTCAACCCTCCCCATTTACTTCTTTTTTTTTACTTGGGCCGAGAGAGAGAAGGGAAAGAAATGGCTTGGGCCTTTAGTGCTTGAGTCCCATAATATGAGGCCCAATTTGATGGTTTTCGGACCATTGGGCCTTTAGAGTAGTTCACGGCCCAATTCTTGCATAAAAGAATGGATTTGAGGTCCATTAAGGCTAATTGGATTTGCTATGGCCCAACAAGGCCCATTAAAAGTAAACTAGTCCATTTTAGACTTATAATGCCCAAAAAGGTTAAGTCTAATGAGAGTGGGTCCAATTAGAGCCCATTTAAGAGTTCTAAGCCCAAAATAGTCAAATTGGAAGCTTATTGGTCCATTAGGCCCAATAAGGAAATCTTAGTCCATATTGGACTTAACCCGGGATTTTCAGGGTTTCCAATCTTTTGTTGACCATTTGAAGTGTTTGCATAGAGTGATTGATGTAACTTTGGTGTTATTGAATAAACATCATGCATACTTTCAAATTTTAGCCACAAATGTTATCATTGTTAATGTTTACAAAAGCATTAGAATTCCTAGTTGTGACAAGAGAGGAGAGAGAGAAGGAAATTTTTGCATGATGATTGATACTTCCATGCATGGAAGTATGAGGTGCAATTATCTTGGTTACATGCTAAATATTAATGAGGTGTCATCTACATGAACCACCATTCTCTTATATATATATATATATATATATATATATATATATATATATATATATAACTGATCGGCCCAATGGAGAGAAGAGAAAAAAGCGGTTTCTGGGCTAGAAGGGTAACCGAGAGCACTTTGGGCCCAATAACAATTTTCAACCATTGAGGCCCATATACGGTTTTCGGTCCAATAGAGTTGAATGAAAGAGTTTTCGGCCCAAAATGTTTCCTAATAGAGGTATTTAGCCCATTAAGCTTTGAAATAATTCTTCATGGCCCAATAAGGCCCAATAAGGGTCTTACGACCCAAAACTCTCGTAATTAAAAATTTTCGGCCCAACTATGGGTTCTCGGCCTATAATAAGGTTAACTAGGGCTTTTGGCCCAGGAATGGCCTAATAAGAAGGTCTAGGTCCATTAGAAGGTTTGGACCGAGAAGGCTTGGGTTAAGGCCCAAAGTTGAGTGATCATAGCTTATTGGGTTAGGTTTTTGGGCTATACGAGGAAGTTTTGACTAGAAACACAATTTTGGATGTATAAATTTGTATAATATTGAAATTAATTTATACTACACATAGTGTTACATAGTTACACAAAGGAACTATCTTGCACATGGATAGAAGACCTAGCCCTAAAATGCTAGTTGCGACACAATGTATCGAACCAAATGCCAAAGACTAAAAGAGTTGGTTTCATTAATGAAATTAAGGAATTTGGACTTACAACTTCGATGCCGATTTTGTAGACGAGAAGCTTGCATCGTTCTCAACAACCTTCGGTGAAGTTGAGGCCGCCAGTGGAGCAGTGACGAGGAGTAGGGCTGGTGCAGTGGCGGCTGATAAGTGGAGGTGGTAGCGATTCGAGAAGGATAAGGGAATAAATGGATTAAGGGTTTCATTTGGTTTGGGATGGAGAGATATCATTAGGGGAATAATTTAGTTTATGTTTTTTTTAATAGTTTTTTAGGTTTATGTTATAATCAAATAATTATAATAAATGACATATATGTAAATTACACTAAGCTCGATTAAGCTCGCTAGCTTTACGAGCCGAATATTTTAGAGATTAATACAAAAAAATCTTATTATTTTGGGAAAATTTTTAATAAAGTTTTTAAAAAAAAATTTGAACAGAAAAGTCCTGATTGTTTAAAATTTTGTCCAAATTAATGAAAAAAAATCATTTTTTATATTTAAACAACAAATGCCAGATTATATGATTTTTTTCAAGATAGTGAAAATTTTCTGTTAAAAAAAAAAACTTTTAGTACTTTATCAGAAAATTTGTCAAAATAATAAAAAATTTCAGTATAAAACCCAATATTTTAGTACTTCCCGAGTTTAACAAAAGAAAAGAAGAGAAGAGAAAAGAAAGTTATGAAAGAAAAAAAGAGAAAGGAAAGGAAAACAAAATTATATTTTGTGTTCCTGAGTTGGAGAAAAGTGGGAGGAAAATGAATCATTTTGTTCTATCTTTCCAAATCCTTCCAAATCGGAAGGAAAATTAAAAGGAAAAGTGATCCTCCAATTTCCTTCCGGTTCTCTCCTTTAATGAAACTCGAGAACACCAGTTTCTTTTATTTTGTTCTCGTTTCCCCTCATCGTTGTAATCGGAAACGGGGTAACAACGCGAATGATTTAGAGTATTTTTATAGTTTCTCGCAATACTCCCGCTTACACCCTTTTGTTATGTCCGACTAAAATAAAAAGGGAAAATGACTTAAAAAGGTAACGAAGTTTCAAAAATGTACAAAAAAGACCATTGTTTTTTTTAGTACACAAAATACCATTTTACCGGCTATTGTAGGTTACCCGGTTTCCAAGTGTTCAAAAAATACCATTGTTGTTTTTTTAGTACAAAAAATATCATTAATGTTACTATTTGTACACAGAATACCAACGAGTACACATATGTTCAACTAAAACATTGTGGTAACCAGGTACTTCAGGTAAATGAGAAAATGACTTAAAAGTGTAACGAAGTTGCAAAATGTTTAAAAAATATCACACTTTTTGTTAACTGTGTTGTTGTCGGATTATATAGAACACAATTACCGGGGATCATGAACCGTCATATCAGTTCACAACAATTGTGCAAATCTCTTTCATTCCTTCACTCGATCGTTCTTGTGGTAACAAGAGAAGTAATTGGGTAATAACATTAGTTAAACATTCTTGCTTCCCGATCACATTATATAACTCAAACCTAAAACATATATACGTTATATAGATGCACATATTATACATCAAGGTTAGCCGTTCATTAGTGTTGCGGCACAAGAGAGACACAAAGGAGAAACGAGTGTGACGTTATGTCATGAGAATTCCTAAATATGGATTTAGATACAAACTGATTGAGTGATAGGATGAAAGATAGTACACAACTGGTGTGAACTGGTACGACGGTGACTAATCTCCGATGACTATGTTCTATATAATCCGGAAACAACGAAGTTAACAAAAGGTGCTCTGAAAAAACAATAATGGTTTTTTTTGAACATTTTGAAAATTTCAATGGTATTTTTTATACTAAAAAAATAATGGTATTTTTTGAACAAATTTGAAACTTTGTTACCTTTTTAAGACATTTTTTCTGCTACCTGCAGTAACAGGTTACCCACAAGACTTTATTTGAACACATATATCCTTCATTGGTATTTTGTGTATAAAAAATATACTTTAATGGTATTTTGTGTACTAAAAAAACAATTGTTTTTTTGTACATATTTTAAACTTCATTAAAAAAGTCATTTTCCCAAATAAAAACCATCTTCAAATTTATGCTTATATCTGCCTAACAAAATAGCTCCCAAATTGCACTCGACTGCAGAAGCTAGGGTTCGCACTTTCGCATCCATCATCTCTGTCCAAGAATCCACACCAGCTTCACCGATCGAATTCGATCCTCCAAAGCCCTAATCTAGGACTTGGAGAACGACTACAAGTGATATAATGGACTTCGACGAGTACGAGTACTTGGAGAAGACAGTCGACGAATCCGACACCAGGAATGGTTCATCTTCGAAGACCAAAGACGTCAGCTCGGAGAAGAGCGAAAAGGGTCACAGGCGGAAGGGAAGAGAAGATGATGGCGAAGATGCTGAAGATGACCGCATTGAAGAACGGAGAAGGAGCAAGAAATACAAAGGGGATGAAGAGAACGGCGGGAGCAGGAGGGATGTAGACAGAGACCGTGACCATGGCCGTAGCCGTGAGGAGAGGTCTTCCCGGTCGGAGCGTCACAGAAGTAGTGGTAGGGATGGAGAGAGAGACGTCGAGAGAGAAAGAGAAAGGGATCGTCGGAGAAGCAGTAGGGATGGCGATAGAGAGAGGAGTTCCAGAGGGAGGGATAAGGACGATGATAAAGATAAAGAAAGGGAGAGGAGAGACAGAGATAAAGATCGAGAGAAGAGGGAGAAGGAAAGGGAAAGAGAAAGAGAAAGGGAAAGGGAGAGAGAAACGTCTAGAAGGAGCCGCAGTCACTCAAGGCTTGAACGTGAACGAGAGAAGGAACTGATACGAGAGAGAGAAAGAGAACTCGAATCAAGAGAGAGCAGGTGAACAAGTCTTCCTTTTTTATATCTTTTGTGTTAATTCATCTTTCAAGCAGTGTTCTATATGATTTGTTGGTTCTTTGTATGATTGAATGCTCATTGTTCCTATAGTACTTGTAGGTCTCTAGTTACATCTTGATGAATCCATGCTAAAGAAAAAAAAAATGCATCCCTTAAAAAGAAACACAAAGCTATGCAAAACAAATTTAGCTTTTAGTGTTAGTGTTAGCTACCAAGTTTCTAACTTGGATTGAAATCGTAGATGGATTGTTTGCACATACTAATGGGCTAACAATGCGGATTCACCGAAGAAAAAGTGGGCTTTATAAGGTCTGTTTGGTTCTTATTTTTTTACAAAATCTGTTTGACCCTTTAGAAATTTGGCTCACATTCAAATATTCAAATTGTGAGTGGAGATGTTTAACGAATGATGTATTTTATTTTTAGGTTGGCAAACACATATGACATATGGTGCTCTCTCACTCTCACAATCTTTGAAGTTTTTGTTCATTGAGAAGACATTCATAAATCATAATGACAGATTATCAAACAGTGTGTTTTGTGTACCTTTAAATCTTGATTTTGTACTTATTGTTCTTTAAGTTTTTTTACATGACAGGAGACTTAAAGATAAGAAAGATGCAGTAGAGCCAGAAGCAGACCCTGAAAGGGATCAAAGAACTGTTTTTGCTTACCAGGTTTATAATTATATCCAATGTTATGTTTCTTAATTCTAAAGAAAGTTTATATTTTTATCAACTCTTGTATTGACATGCATATATTTTTGTTGTTGTTTAGATGCCATTGAAGGCAACTGAATGGGATGTTTACGAGTTCTTTTCTAAAGCAGGAAAGGTAAATAACTAAATACAACAAGTATTGTTAATTGTTATTTAGTTTTAAAATCTGTTTACATTATCTTTTGTTTATATAGGTGAGAGATGTGAGATTGATCATGGATAGGAATTCAAGAAGGTCAAAAGGAGTCGGGTGTGTTACTGTGTTTCTCTTTATAAATGCTTTTTTCTTATTTCTATTATTCTATACATGAAGATGTAAAAGTTTATATTTTTAATTTTGGTAAATTTTAGGTACATTGAGTTTTATGATGCAATGTCTGTGCCAATGGCAATTGCCCTTTCTGGTCATTTACTTTTAGGGCAGCCTGTGATGGTGAAGCCTTCAGAGGCTGAGAAGAATCTTGTTCAGTCTACCGCCACAACTGGGGCGGCAGGTGGTGGTGCTGGAGCCTTTGGGGCAGTTGACCGAAAGCTTTATGTTGGAAATCTACACTTCAACATGACTGAGTTGCAACTCAAACAGGTAATAAATCAATACACTTTGCATAGTAATTGATCTTTAGTTTTATTAGTATACATACTTGTTGTCTATAGGGTAATGTTTAGTATGATGGAATTGTGGAAGGAATGGAATGTGTGATTCCATTGGAATGAGAAATACATATTTGGTTTGCATGATGGAATGGAATAGAATAGAGGTGTTTCTTTCCATTCTATCATGGAATGAAATGAAAGTTTGCAATATAACACATTATTATGTTATGTATGTATTTTTCTAACGATATAATTTTTTATTAAAGACTTATATGATTTTATTTCAATCACAGTTTTGTTTTCCAAAAATAACTAGAAAATGTATTGCTTAACGAAAGTTAATTTGGGGTTTAATGTTTCAAAACATTTAAATAAGAAATCCATCAATTATAATTACACATTGTAGGGTTAATCTCATAAAAGACCTTATAATTTGTGTTTTTTCGGGATTAAACTTCAAATTTATTTTTTGCCTGAAAAAGACCTTGTATTTTTTCATTTTTTCCAAAAAGCCCTCAACAATGTACTTTTTTCCAAAAAAAAACCTCAGCTTCTAAATGCTTTCCAATAAACCCTCAACTTTTTTAGTTTTTACCGAAAAAACCCCGACATTTTACAATTCTTTTTGGAAAAAAAATAACTAAAATCTACAAATCATAGCAATATAACCCAGATAGCATTATGCTTCTGAAAATCTTACAAAATTATAGCAATATGATGTAAATACAAAGCAATTTTTATTGTTGTGATTGGGTAAAATTTTCAAAGTATAATGTCCTAATGAAAGTAATTAGTAAAATGCTTTAATTGGGTAGTTATTATAATTGCAATGAAATAATGAGAAAATATCTTAAGTACAATACTGAAATAAAAAGAAGTGAAAGTAGGATGCTAATATGCTATAATTGGTTAAAACTTTATACAATTCCTTATTCTTCTTTATATAAGATCATTCCTTTTAAAATGAGTAGCATTAACCAAGAACAAATAATCTCACCAAAAATTAAGGTTTTACATATATATATATATATATATATATATATATATATCTGATTTATTAATATTATTATCCTTGAATTTAACTAGTTTTTTCATGATCTCAGATCTTTGAAGCTTTTGGTCCTGTTGAGCTTGTTCAACTCCCCACTGACCCTGAAACAGGGCACTGTAAAGGTTTTGGGTTTGTTCAAGTCGGTATTAATTTGAATTTTAATTATTTAATAATGTGTTTATTAGTAATTTTTAATTTTTTAATCGTCCATTGACATTAATATAAAATCCTTAATCTCTTTTCTTGAAGTTTGCTCAACTTGAGCATTCGAAAGCAGCACAAAGCTTGAATGGGAAGCTTGAGATTGCTGGTCGAACTATTAAGGTCATCATTTTTACAAATTTTTGTCTTTTATTATAGCTTCTAATTTATTTTTATTTTTATTTTTTTCAAAATTTGTTGGTTGTATTTGTAGGTGTCTTCAGTTACTGATCATGTTACTGCACAAGACACAGGAGCAAAAGCAGCAGACTTTGATGATGATGATGGTGGAGGTTTGGTGAGTCCATATAATTGTATATATATATTTTTTAATTAATTTTTTTTAAAACAATCTTTCTTTTAATTCATTAAATTTTTTTTATTTTTTTTTATTTTTTTATTTTTTTTTATATAGGCACTAAATGCTCAATCAAGAGCTATTCTTATGGCAAAACTTGATCGCAGTGGTATTACCACAGGGTATGTTTTATGATCTTCAATCTGTGTTTGTTTAGTTACATGGGTCAGGGGCATTTTCGTCTTTTTGACATTTTTGGATGGTTATTTGCAGTATTCCTGGGGCTATTGGAGCACCTATAGTTAATGGATCTGGTCCAGTTCAAGGAGGTGGTTTAGGCATGACTATGGCAGCAGCTACAAATACAATTCCCATTTTGCCCCCACAAATTGTCTCAGAGCCAATTGGAAACCCTAGTGAGTGTTTGCTGCTAAAGAATATGTTTGACCCTGCTGCTGAGGTATGTTCTTTTCTTTCCCAAACACAAAATATACAAGTTTATTATATATTATTTCTTGGTTTGGAAGAAATTTAATTATTTAATTATTTTTTGCAGAGTGATCCAGAATTTGATTTGGACATCAAAGAGGATGTGGGAGAAGAATGCTCCAACTATGGAAGGGTGAAGCATATTTATGTTGACAAGTATAACATTCTTATTTATTTATTTATTTATTTATCTCTTCCATTGTATATAACTATAACTTGTCAAAAATATGCATCATTGTTAATTATTTCATATTCATATCATCTAATGAAAAAAAGTATATATATATATATATATATATATATATATATATATATATATATAATTTAATAACAAATCAAGTTATTATGTTGAGAACAAAACAAACCATCTAAAGATAAGATAATCTAAACAAGTTTGCTATGCAAAGAAGAATAACCAGGGGCAAAATTGTCATTTTCTTAATAGGGAAAGTGCTGGCTACGTGTATCTACGATTTGAGAGTGTGGAGGCAGCCTCACGAGCTCAACAGGCAATGCATAAAAGATGGTTTGCCCGCAGATTGATTTCGGCCATTTTCTTGGTATTATTATTATTATTATTATACATTCAACTATTTTCTTATTAAGGCATTGTATGTGTAATGGTGTTTGTTGTAATGAAAACTGCAGCAACCATATGAATATGAGGCCAAGTTCAAAGGTGTTGCTGCTTGATGAAGAAGATAAAAGTTTTTTTTATTCTTATTTATTTCATTTTAAGGTTTTGGTTTTTGTTTAGGAACCTGGAAACTGTGTAATCTGTGCAATGTGTAATGAATGATTCTGAAAGTTTCATTTTCTTTACATTTATGTAGAATCATATTCAGGTTGCTTTATCATATCTTTGATTAAGCCCTGCATTTGCATGTATCTTTGATAAAGATGCTTAAATCATTTGTTAAAGAGTAAAATAACAGTTTTTTGTTTGTGTTTACATTTAAATTTACCTCGAATTAAGTAAATGTAAATTTATCATTTTGTCCTTGTATGGAAAACCAATTAATCATTTAACCATGTTTTAGTTTTGGTCATGTAGACATAGGGCACTTCACCTCTTTCAATCTTGCTTCCTTCTTTCTTTCTGCTAACTCCTTTTCATATTTAGAATTTTGTAGAAAAGTTGAGGGCAAAATTGTCATTCTCATAAATTGCTATAAATTGACTTTAAGATAAATCAAAAACAATAAAACATAACAAAAGCTTCGCTGTATTCATTTAAGCACTCACAATACCAAAAGAACAAAATGATAATCTGATGGTTTGCTAGATTCGAGAGCCTAGCCTTTCGCAAGGTATGAGATACCAGATTCCTCATGAAATAAATGATATCTACATACCCTCTACCCTCTTATAAACACTGATGCAACAGACTTAATGTAATAAATGCCCAAAATACCCCTCCCACATAAAATGCTCTTTATTTTGATGATTTCCCGTATTATCTCTATCTCAATTATTCGACTAATATTGGAGGTATAACAATACCCACCCCCAAAGAATCACCTTGTCCTCAAGGATGGATAAAAAGGTGTATAGCATCCAAATTCTCCCATGTTACCTCTAAAAGATCTATATGCTCATGAATTATTATAAAATGATATTTGCTAATAACATATGATCATATTGGGTCACATCTTATACCTGGTAGAAACTTATTGGTTATTTATTAGAATTTGGTTATTAATAAATATTACCAACTCTTGTATTTAATTGAAAATTATAATTTTATGAAATTAATATTTTCCAAGAGAGAACAATTAATAACTCACAAGGTATGATTTATATGTTGTGTACACTATTTTGCACTAGTTAAAGTTCATTTATATAATATTACATAACACGTACACATGCTAGTTAAAGAGATGGAGTAAAAGACACTATTCTTTGACTTTTATTAGTCAAAACCATGGACGTCCCTATGATGGGAGAGTATTGCTTGTGAAGTAATGTCTTATACTCCCATGCTTCTCTTTTGAGCCATGCTTTCATTTAATTAAGGTATGGTCCATAGTACATGCATGCAACTATATAAAGAGACTAAAGGATTGCAAATAAGTTTGATTATTACTTATCTTTTCTCTCTAGAACCGTGAGTTCTTCTTCTTTCTCCTTGGTTTCTTTTGAAGAACTAGTGAGTTAGTTGGTGATTAATAAGTGATTCTCCTTACGACTAATTCGATATTAGTTCTTAAAGGCTTAAGAAGTACTTAATACAAGAGAAGACTAACATCTTTGGTGACTAACACTTGCTTGGTGGATACATATAGAGGAGCTCTACTTTAGGTCTCTCTTGTCATCTTCATCAACTTCCAAGCCTCCAATTGAGGAATCAAAGTCTACAAAGTTTGTTATTCTTTTCATTCTATGTTTGGTTTAATCTTTCTATGTTTGCAAAATGATCATTGGTGGGTATAAAATGATTTTAAGTTTATTCAAATTTTAAATCTTCAATTGCCGTTTTTAGAAAAATTGTTTTTAAATAAAACTCAATGATTGGTATCAAAGTCATTTTTGCATGCATGGTTAGATTGTAAGATTATTTGGTATAATCTTTGTTTTTAGAAAACATTTATGATTTTCCTTTGGAAGAAAATATCATACATATTTTTTTATGACAATTTTGAAATGTATTTATGGTTATAAAAGTTGTCATACAAAAACAAAGTGTTGCTTTATGTGTGAATGAACATATTTAGCGCATAAACTAGCCATGAACCATTTGTGATGATGTTTGTGTTAATTTGTTAAAATAGTTGTAATATTTATTTATTCATATGGTATGTAATAATTAAATAAATAGTTTTCATTTTGTTTATATTTGAAAGTAATAGATTAGTTTTAGAATAGTTTATTTTATAAAAATGTAACAAGATTGAAGATGATGACCATTTTGAAGATCAAACGTACATGCACTTGGTTTTAGTAAAGTTTTATAAACTTTACAAATCATTTCATGAACTTGATACAAAATGTTGAAGCAAGTTGGAGCATGAAGTGTTGGATTAGGTGTCTAAGCCCATAATTATAATTGATATAAACTTGAATTGATAGTAACACAGTCCTTTTGGGTTGCCCTCAAACCTAACAATTGGACATGATGGTTTTTTTGGAGAGAGAGGTTGATTTATTATTTGATTAATAAAATTGAAATAAATAAGTTGTTAATATATTATGAGAATAATATATTAATTAGAAATAATATCATTTAATTAATAATTAATCAGAAATTAATTGGAATTAATTTTAGGATTAATGAAATTAATTAAAAGTGCAGGGTCTAAAGTGCATTTATTCAATAGTTGAACAAAAGGCTCCAGAACCTTCCACCAGGATGGTAGACGGTTTCTAGGGGATAATCTAGGGTTTATAGATTATCCCATATGGATAAATATGGAGCTGGATAATTACCAATTTGAAATATTATTATTATATTCAGATTAGGGTTATCTAGGGCCTCCTTGTACCACTATATAAAGGACCATAACCCTTCATATTTCGGCCACTCATACTCTTAGAGAGATAGACAGAAATTTTTCATCCCCTTTCCTCTCTTCATAATCTTCTTCTTGCTAGCTTGGGTGTGAGCCATTAGAGGCACGACATTTGTAGTGCTTGCTTCCAAAGGTTCTGCAAGTCAAGGATAATTATTATTTACTATAATAACAAAAAGGTATGTAATCCTAAAACATTTCTTGTGTTTTTCGAAAATTACCTAGGGTTTCTAGGGTTCTTCTTTTGATGTTCTTAGCTATAGGTTCAATAGAGAAAACATAGATCATGTTTTAGGTTGCATGCACACTTAAAAGTTTTAAGTTTGTTTTTGTTATGCATAAAACCCATCAGTGTTATCAGAGCGATGCTTGCTTTCAATTGAATTTGCTATAATTGTCGAATTGATCAAATAGGGGTTTATGGAAATTAAACCCTAAAAGGCTTAAAATTTCGAAATTAGGGTTAGGGTTTTGAAACCCTAACCTTCCTCCCTAAGTTTCGAAATTAGGGTTAGGGTTTTGAAACCCTAACCTTCCTCCCCAAGCAATTTCGAAAATTGATAGGTTATTAGGGTTTTTCAAATTTTAGTAATTATCATTTTACTTGTCTAAAAAGAGATAATTAAAATTGGATAATACCTATACCTTATATTTTCGAAAATTTAGAGGGTATGGATTAGGGTTAAACTAATTAATTAATTTAATTAGTTAATCCTTAATTGATTTAATATATTTAGTTAATTGTTAATTAATAGATAAATATTAAATCACTTTGTTTATTTTTTAAATTTAAATTATTTAAATTTTCGAAATTTAATTATAAACCTAGTATTTTAAAAAGTTTTAAAATACACCTTATACTATATGTAAAATTAAAAGTTTAACAATTACTATATGTATAAGACTAAGTCAGTCGAACCGCTAGTACGCCTCATTCACAAAGTTGGTCTATAAGGGGGTATGAGGAAACTGCCTATAAATTGGTAGTTGAATGGGTGTCCACTCTCACTCACCGCTTCCTTGATTAGTGGAGGGTCGTTATCCGAACGGGTTTGATAGGACAATTAATTGTCATTAAAAGTACTAGAACCTTCTTTTATTAAAATCCCAAATCTAGTTACTTTAGGAAAAATGTGAATTTATATGCTAACCCATGAAATTGCACATTACACTTTATAAGTCGTTAATGGAACGTGTGTGGTTAATCGACACACTAATAGGGTCTAATAAAGAGTTGTAATGGGTATCTCATAAATTATCATTGTTGATGGAGCGTGTGTGGTTTATCGGCACATCAATTGAGATGATAAATGACAATGAGGTTACCAAGCACATTTGCATTGTTATTCACATCTTGTTTGTGATCCTCAGTATCCCATTCACAAATAGAAGAGCATAATCTGAGATTAAACATACCATTGAATAGTTTCAATAAATCTCAAAAGATCTAGGAATTTCATCAAAACTTAATTTCTTTTTAATTCCGTTTTCTGTTGGTGGAATTGGTAAATCGTCATTTACCTACATTTATATAATTTACAATTAGATTACGGCATCCCTTTTCTATGTTATGAATCATTTAGTTGGATCCTAGTCTTAATATTTCATTTTTGGGTTGATATATTAAGGATTATTCTTATCTAACTAAAACTACCTTCCTTTTACAGATGTCTACTCCAAATGATGCTTCTGGTTCCTCCTCCTCTAATCAAAACTTCTCGTTGTTGAACATTTGCTCCAAGGTGACACTGGATGGCACCAATTACAACGACCGGATGCGCAACATCAAAATGGACCTTCGTTTCGAGGACAAGGAATATGTCCTTGAGAAAGAACTAATTGAGATTGACGAAGAGAAGGCCACTCCTGAAGAATTAGCCGCATACAAGAGGCACTACAATGATGCAACAAAAGTTGCTTGCATCGTGGTCGCCACGATGACCCCTGAATTGCAGAGATTCTATGAGGATTACTGGTCGTATGAGATGAACAAGGACCTTGTGGAGAAGTATCACAAGCAAGCTCATCAAGAAAAATACGAGGTGGTAAAGTCCCCATGGTGTGAAAAATGAAAGAGGGAGAATCTGTATGTGGCCACGTACAGAGAATGCAAGGTTACGTGGAGCGTCTTGTTAGGCTTAATGTGCACTTTGATGAGGAGTTGGCTATTGACATAATCTTGAACTACTTTCCAAGTTGTTATGATCAGTTCATCTTAACCTATCATTTGAACAACAGTGAGACGACCTTGGCTCAATTGAACAACCTCCTGAAGACATCTGA